CTGCTTCTTTTTTTGGATCTTGCCACAGAAACTTTGCACGATACATGATTCACAGTAGTCTTTATTTTATCCTGGCTGTTTTCTGTAACAAGCTGTTTTAGCTTTTCGCCCTTGTTTGCATTTACCCTCTAAACTAAAAGGTCCTTACCACAAGCTGGGAATGTTTTCAGCTGCTCTTCTTCTGACTTGCAGGTCACTTTCTTTCAGCTCCGTTCTGCATCTACAAGCTCCCCTTTCTTCCTAACTTGAATCATTGTACTTTTACGGGCTGCTGTTTTTAGACTGAATTTGGACACTAAAGAAGAAGCATACATTTAATTTCATGTGCGATCACACACTCGTGTATTTTACTGCCCTCAAACTGTAAAAACCAGCTGACTTTTATTTCCTCTGCAGGTTTAAAATGTTAACCAGGTGGTTAACTTTCACAGCCTTCCTCGCCGTCCCAGCCAATCCAGGAAAAGGAGCTACCAGCCAGGGCACTCTGACTGTGGCCCCCACCTGCCAGGTCAAAGGTCATCCAGAGGTGGAGCTGACTTTACACTGTGGAGATGGAAAGGATTTAGGTGAGTGAAGACTCCAACTCACCCTCTGCTCTCTGAAGGCAAACGCTGACTTCCGTTAAATGTAGAAAGCGGTCACGTTCCTGCTGTAAATATTTCAGATTGTACATTAATAGAAACCAATCACTCTGAGGAATCTAAAGCGATAACACTTTATAATAATTTTGGCTAACAATGAAACTTTAATTATTCAAGTATACTAGCTGCTAAAAAGCTGGTTTGTGAATCAGACGCAACTACACAATAAAACACAGATAATGCTTACAGATGTTCACAGATGTTGACTGTGTTTAAATCAGGTGTAGTAGGTGGATGGGGTTGCCCACTGCGCCTGCTGTGTGTCCCTCTGTGTTGTGTTGCAGGTTCTCAGTAGGTGGAGTTATTTAGTGCACCTGGCCGGCCTCCCTGGAGCATATAAGAGCTGACTGTCTCCATCACACACCCAACATTCAAACACTCATCCAGCTGCTAACACAAACTAACACACCTGAAGATGTTTACTCTGTTTTTTGTCTCTTTTGTTTGATAAATCAGAAAAGTTGTGTCTCTCTGGGTCTCTGACACCAGCAGCTCTGACACGAGAGAAAACTTTCAGTGAACTACGGTACTGAACGTTGGTGGTGTTCCACTTATTACTGTTGATGATCATGTTTATGAAGTGTAACCAATGATTTTTAAAACAGAAAGGCCTTTATTTCAATTTTCTTTTCTTAAAAAAAAGCTGTTTAGCTCCTCCCCTTTAAGGCACCTTTCTTCTGACTAGCTACCCCTCACAAACAGAGGGTTTGAAAAGCAGGTGGGCGGAGCTTCTGTGCTTACAGCCATAGCTTTGTGCCCATTTCAATACCGATAAACCATAACTGTTTATAAAAGATGGATGGATTCTATTTATTATTTATTTTGGAACCAGTCTCGAGTGGACGAAAGAGGAACTGCAGCATTGCCACGTGAGACACAAAGGAAAGGTTTTTGTGACTCTCTCTCTCTTTTGGTACTCATGAAATCATTACTCCTCACCTGTACCTGCTTCTTCTCTCATATGCAGGTGTGGTCCAGTACTGGCACACCCCCTTTGGAGACCTCCACACTCCTGGTTCCCATGGTAAACTGGACCCCGTCGTCATGCACCATGACGGGAGCCTGCTGGTCCCCAACACCAGTGCTCTCCACAGTGGCCTGTACTACTGCCTCCTGCAGCACACAGAGGGAACTACACTGTGGCCGTATGAGCTCCACGTCGGTCACGATGGTCAAAACCTTCAGGAACTGGGAGAATACGAGCGAAGCAGCCGCTGTGCTGCGCTCAGGTTCAGGAGGGATGCTGAGTCTGAGGAGGCGAAGCAGGCAGGTGTTTCAGCCGAGCTGTTTGCAGGAGCTGTGGCTGCATCAGTGCTGCTGACCTTTGTGTTGGGATTCAGCATTGGAGCTTTTAGCAGGACTCATGTTCTCAGGTGAGTTCAGGGACTTACGTCATTATTGGTGCCTCTTGAAGAAGTTTTAACCCAGGCTAAATCACCAGCATTGTAATCAATGTATTTTTAAACAAGTATAGAGAAAGACGCAAACACTAGATAATCTCAGTGTGAGCCAATGAGAACACCACATGTGGACTGACCCTTTTTACATTAAAGGTCTGTTTTTACCTCTCAGGTGTTTAGGGGCAGTCAGGGCAAAGCTGCGGTCACCAAAACGAGGACGAAAGCGCCAAAACGACACAACTGACCACGGCCCCGAGGTCAGCATGGCAACCCTGCCGCCCACGAACGAGAACCCGGCCTCTGAAAACGACCAGGTGGTGCACAACAACTCTGCGCCTAACCTGTCTCCTCCTGCCAAACCTCAGAGAAGCTTCCGGCACAAACGAGAGGAAGACGAGCCACCAGAGACCACTGCATATCTGGAAGGATGTGACTACAAGGAGGAGGAGGAGGAGGAGGAAGAAGAGGGAAGATGTGCAGAGAACAGAAATAAAGGCAGTGATAAGGAGTTAGAAGAGGGGGAGAAAGAGAGCCGGTTTGGTCGCTTGTATCTGATAGGAGAGGATGGAGAGAGTCAAAGTGAAACAGATGAGGATGAGGAGGACAAACATGGAAGCGAGAGCAGGGAGGTGAAGATGAGTATGGTGCAGGAGGAAGAGGAGGCGGCGGCCGGTGAGGAGAAAGATGGAGAGACGGAGATTTCCAGAGATTCTGAAAAGTCATCTTTTGAAAGTGAAGATGAGGAGACAGGAGGCAAAAACCAGGAGGTGACCGATCAAGGAGCGCTGCCGCCCTCCCCACCACGCCCAGCCCGCCGCAGCCGCGTCATCCGCCTGTACCAGTATGACGAGGACGGCCAGCGATACGGCCACCTTCCAGACCCTGGCCCCGACGCTCCTCTCCCCGCCCCCAGATTCAAACAGCGCTCCGTCTCTCTGACGCGCCTCTCCGCCATCATGGCTGCAGCCTCAACAGGGCCACTGGACCAGAGACAACAGGAAGAAGGATAGTGAGCAGACGTCAAACTTCCACATGGACATTTGATAGATGCTACAGAGAGTGGACAAAATAATGACAACACCATGGCTCAAGTCGAGTCCAGCTCTACAAACTTTGTTTGGAAGGGTCGCCACATTTAGCGCCACAAACCGAGCCTGCGTTACGCTTTACTGCTACACCTGAGGACAATAAAGGACAAAGTCTCACACATTCTTCAAGTTTCCAAAGTAAAATAATTAGGGGGCACACCATATAATGCACGAGTGGGGAGTCCATTCTTCAAAAGTTAAATGCTTTCTTTGGCACAGATGTTCAGTGCATATTATTATTATTATTATTATAAGTTATATTTGCATTATAACTATATATATTATAATTTCCACTCATGCTTACTTGCAGATCTGAGTTGCACTGATTTGATTATCTCAGAAAATCTGCAAAAATGTACAAAATAAAAGGACTTTCATGTTTTGAAGTTATTTGTTATGCTGTAAACACCTGAACGAAGCAGAACAGCCATCTCCCAGTGGCTGAACTGAAATGATGCACACCTGTACCTGATATGTTGGGTGTGGAATCGATGTATACATACCCTAAGACTGGACACTGTATTTTTATGAGGTCTGACGGGTGAATCTGCACACGCACTTTTTATATCTGGAAATCAATTTTTGCATAAATTAAAAAAAAGCTAAAGCCATCATCAAAGTAATGCTATGACTTCATCCTGAATCATCTTTGCATCCTGCTGACGAGATTACAGCTGAAGCTGAACTAGGCTTCACTTTTGTAATACCACTTTGTGCCACAAGGTGACACAACAAGTAAGTTAATCTTACATATGGCTCGAGTCAAAGATTTTAACTTGTACGCCGTTATACGGGTGTATCTGTTCAGATGAAGTTTAAATCCACCAGCTTGGGTCAAGTCAAGGAAAATAGGCATTTTAAGGAATCTTGAAACTGAAGTGGTACGTGCCATGTCTGTGTGCATTTTTATTGGGACTGTGGTGACATCTGAAACTAATGAGAGCCCTTCCTGCACTAATGCTTGTTCCCATCACATTTACCCAGGTTTCTGCAGAGACTGACACCTGATGGTTTTTGAAGGACAATAGGGGCAAATCTCTAAACTATGAAAAAGTAAAACAGCATAAGACTGATCATATGGACCAGAGGTCACAAGGTGCAGGCACAACACCTGAAATAGGGCAGCATGGGCGTGAATGGAGGTTAATGCTGTTACCTCAGAGCACGGCCTGGTTTAAAGACATCCACGTTAGGTTAACTGGTCATGTATGTGAGGTAGATGAAGTCCTTTAAGTGTGAGCAGTTAAACTGTGACTTGTGTATGGATGAAATGTGAGTAAATTACTTGCCGCTTCTGAGAATGTCCTCGCTACTTGTAATGATTACATCATTATGCTATTATGCTTTCATGTATAAAACAGGACATGATGTCAGATAGTAAATTTAGTTTGTGTTTGGTGGGGAAATAAATTGACTCTCTCTGCTCTCTTAATTAAGGATTCATCTTCCACTTATTAAGGCAGGCCGTTTACTCCAGCAGTCCCCGACCTTTTTAGCGCCACAGACCGGTTAAATGTCAGACAATATTTTCACAGACCGGCCTTTAAGGTGTCGCGGATAAATACAAATAAAATGATACGATTAAGACAAAAACTGTTATTTTGTAAATATAATAATAAAAAAGCAAATTAACTGTAATTTTGCAACTTTATTAGCATCCTCCTCCTAAAATGCGCCAACAAGATTGAGTGTAACATCCTCCTCTCTGCCCCTTAATGCTCTCTGGTCGCTACGGTAACGCGTAAATATTTCTTTCAAAAGAAGACACAACTACAACATGGGAAAAAACCCAGGGAAACAGAGTTAACAATAAAAACCCTGAAAACCATTAATTTCACACCCGAGCCTCAACAACCCCGGTACCAAACGACTCACGGACCCGGGGGTTGGGTACCGCTGGTTTACACATTCTAAATTGATGTGCAGTTCAAAATTTGTTGTAGGGCCCAGATTATACCGTGCAAGGCATACAACATGAACAGTAAGTTAACCAGCCAAGAATATATTCTTATTTACAGCAGTGAAAGAGTCTCGTGAGTAAATGTGGAGAAGTCCAAGAAGAAATGTGAAACATTATGAGCTCTGGGGAAACAACTCCCCCTGCTGGTCAGTTTTAGTTGACATTTGCAGCTGGTAATTTTAGAAAGTACCTTTAAAGTTTGTGTTGTTTTTTTTTTAAAGCATTCACTAAATTAACTGCCCAGAGGGGTTTCAGGATAGCTGTAGAGTGGTGAGACTTGCTTCTAGCAGGTTAGGTGCTGGTTATCTGGCAGGATGTGGCCTAATAAGAAGTGTTAGGAGATAAAGGGATAACTGCTCTATCTGCTCAGGGGTTGCTGGACTGACACCTAAAAAAGAAATGGTAAATTAATTCTTCAGGCTGACCATGCATTAGTGTGAAAACACGGTGCAGGAGTGGCGAATGAAACCTGGGCTCTGCAGCTTGATGAATTTCCATTTCCTTTTTATTACTGTGAAAACTTCTATAAACAAGACACAAAAATGGGGGAAAAAAAAACCATTAAACATAAATTCCACAGCTCTTCTCAGTCCCTTTTCCCTCTGACAGTTTCTTCTGTTGAAATTAACACTATTAAAAAAAAAAAAAAAGTCTTCTCAGCAGGAGGAAGGCCTCTTAGCATTTGGACGATGGTGCACAGACGCCTCTAACGGGATTTGAAGGTCCACAGGGACGAGGTTGTACTCCATATTTCTGTGTATGTGTGGATGAAACCTTTTTCCAAACAGACTCCTTCCCGGGTTCTCAGTTTTCTCCCTCTTCATCCTTTCGTTTTTGTGGTTGTTAATGCTATGAAGCTGACCAACTTCTTCGCCATTCCACGAACTCGTCTAGAAGCACCGGCCCTGCAAAAAACAAATAAACCCGTAAATATAGACAAAGGTGCGCCTGCACATTATTACTGTTCAGTGAAGCCATAAAGCGATTTTAAGGTTTAAAACTGAAATGCTTGTTTAACATTCTTTTGCAGTTATACGTGTTGAAAAGTTTGCTTAAACAGCTGGCCATTTAAAACTTCTAACTTTTAAGAATCTTAAAATCAATATAAAAATGGAGGGAAGATGGTGTAAATGTATTAACATCAGGACTGCTGTGGCATTTTGGACATTTTGGACAAGTATTGTGGACAAGTGATGGACAGATGTTAGATTTCCTTTCACAGAAAGGAGTGAGCCATCATGGAAGACCCCCCAGAATTATAACATGCTCATCCTTCTGTCCTAAGAGCGTGAACCGATCCAGCTGTGTTCTTGTGTATTATGACAAACTGTGCGACAGCGGCCATTCCCAAACCAAAGCCCTGGATGGTCCAGGTGGGGCGATAACTGGCCAACACATCCTATTCCATGTTTGGACCTTTCATACAGGTTTCTATTCCCGCCTTGAAGCAGCTCTGTGAAAGAGGCCTGCACTATTTTCCTAGTACAAGTGGTACTCACAAGCTCCATCCTCATCGTAGTTACTGAGGTCTGGGTTGATGGTCCGGCTGAACTCCAGAACATTATACCACTGGTCTTTATTCAATCCCTTATACTTGGACTGCTGTGGGAGACATTAATGGGGGGGAGACAGTGAGGAAACAACACAGAGAGAGGAGTGAAGAGCTGTTTGAAGATGAGCTGATTTCACATCTCCTTTATCAGAGCAATGAGATTTACCTCCAGGAACTGGCTGAAGACTGGGAAGAGCGGCCATGACCTCCCCAGCAGCAGAGCCAGCATTAATTTTGCCGTGTCCATGTCCAAACTCCTCTGGTTCTTATCCTGAGGACAGAAGCAACTCAGTGAGTGAGCTCAGTAATAAGTGCAGCAGTTCATATCTCTTATGATCCCATGAATGCGCTGATGAGCGTTTCCCCACAGTCCCATTAGTCATAACAGTTAAACCTAACTGTTATGACTCCCTCATTTATGGTTATTTAAAAAAAAATTAAAAAAAAAATCCAGCTGCATCAGCAGGGAGATTCACTGCATCAAGCTCAGAGTCAGAATTCAGAGACTTGATCTGAAAGCCTGTGTTGGTGAAGTTAAGCTTCATTTATGGTCACCACACCAAATCTTTTCAGAAGCTCAGAGTTTAAATGTAGCATCTGCTCCTCCTGGTTAAAACATGGTCACCCCATAGGGAACCATAGGGAACTATTTTGTGGTAATTTGGTGCTTTTAAATTATTATTTTTATTCCAACTTTTCCTCATAACAATCACAAAGTCAGGAGCACAAACACTGCAGACATATTACAAAATGATGTTCAAGGATTTTTATAGGCTTAACTTCCAAATAATAACAATAAATAAAATAAATAGACTCACTCTGGCAAAGTCAAAGGCGTATCTGTAGATATTTTTAAAGGTCGCAGCATCGTTGAGCTCACTGCGCAGGTAATCAAGTTTACTTTGTAATCTCTCTGTGCAGTCACACCTGCATGTAGACGAAGAAAACGCATTTAAGCGTATTTGTAACCTCAACCACAAATAAACTGAAAGAATAAGATTTCTTACTGTAATATCGTCATTCCCCTGAGCCACTCGTCTTTTGTGAAGTACCCCATGTTTGCTGCTTCTAGATGCCACGCTAAAACTAACATGATAATCTGCAGGAAAGAAAGAGGAGATTCAAACAAGTGTAAGAAAGCTTGTTTCCTACCATCTTTATTTTTCACAGAAAAACCATTTGTTGCTAAAATAAAGCTCCATAAAACATTCTCACATCATGAGTGCCTCACAATCTCTTTTCTGAGTGTTACCCTATGACTCCTGATGGTCAGGAGTTCATCAGGTAAGGGACATGCAGAGTGACTAAGAGTCAAGCTGCTGACTTACATTCTCTGGTTCCACGCCAATGTCCTCACAGAACTTCTCCATGGCCTCTGGGCCGAACACCTTGTCGGGGGCAGCGTACTTGTGGAACCAGGCCAGGCACTTCTTACTGGAAAAAGGCTTCTCAGTGTTGATCGGCCTCGGACCGCGGATCAGAGGTCGGGTAAAACTTCGGCACAGACCAAACATTTTAAAGATAAATGTGCAGTCATAACTTCAGGAGGTTGTTACATGGCAGCTATACAACAGCTGGACTACAGTCAAAGCAAAAATACAACAAAGGATTTCACCCTGTGAGAGCTGGGATAGGCTCCAGCACCCCTGACTCTGAACAGGGTAAAGTGGCTCAGAAAACAGCCTGTCAGTATTTCCTGCAGATTAATGGCAACGCGGTGGCTCAGTGGTTACCACAGCTGCCTCACAGCTGGATGTTCTCCAAGAACATTGGTGTATCCAGTCAGCCAGCCAGTTTAGAATCAACTGCTACCAAGTCAGATCAGATGCTGTTGTATGCAAATGGCTCAAGTGATTATTCACATGAGACTCAAACTGTCATCATATTTCATTAAAAACCTGAAATTAAGCCTGCACGGACATTTAGGATGTACAGAGCTGAGGCACTGATGGATTATCCACCTCATTTATATCCAAGAATAAAGCAAAGGTACCTAATAAAGTGGCACTTTAGATACTCTCCTACAGTCCTGAAGACTGAGGCAGTGCTGATTAAGATGACAAGTATGTGCTGAGTGCCTCGATTAGTAAGGAGCATAACTCACAACATGTGTGAAGATATGTGTTTTGGCTACATCCTCACTGTGACTGCAGCATGAGCATTCATCTACACTCTTAATACACAATGAAGAAGAAGAGGAGAAGGGCTCAGAAAGCCTACACCCGGCTGAGAGAGCATCGAACTCACAAGGTAATCAATAAAGGTTCAAGAAGCACGTAGGATGGATAGAAGACAAAGGTTAGCGTTGCAGACACAGGACACCCTCAGTGTGAGCAGATATATCTGTTTACCTCGTAATTTTACAGTTCTGCTCATGATCATCTGCATCAGGCAGCTTCCTCTTCTTCACAGGCATCACGGCACCTTTACTGGGCTTCACTAGCTGGGCTACATTTACAGAGCAAAGACAAGAGTCAAACATCCGTTTGACCCTGGAGTGACTGAGCCATCTTAGCAGCTACAACAACTCAAGTACATTTACAGAAATGCTTTACTTTGTATGTTTCATACCCAAAACATTTCCTCCATCTATGATGGGTATTCTAACATTCAAAATACTTTGATTACTGAATTATCTGAAAGGGTAACTGTCAAAATGAGACGGCCAATTATGGAACAAGTATTGGAGGAGCACTGACGCAGTGTAAGAATCAGTTAATCTAATCTTGGGTCAAAAATCTGGACTTTTAAGTTCTGTGTTCTTTTATTAGTTTAACGTCAGTAGCAAATCAGTACATCTTTGGGCTTTAAGCATCTGCCTTCTGCAGCAGCAGGTGTGAAAAAATTTAATAAAATCAAAGCCTGTTTTTTAAAAACATACTTCTATTTCTACACATCTTTCTATTACCCTTCCCTATTAAAATATTAGAAGTAAACTGATAAATTCATGGTGTGAAACGTTTTTATGATTAAAAAAAAAAACAAAAACACAGCACACAGATATATATGAGTTGTGTGAGAGGTTGTACCTGTATACTTCTGCCTGCCTTGTCCATTCAAATCTAAGCAATGCTGGAATAAAAGAAGAAAACTGGTTAAAAAAAAACAGTCTCTGCACAGCACCTGATAAGCTGATGGATGCTGTACGCTAAAGTCCAGCAGTATTATCACTTTAAACGTGCCGGACTACACCGGCAGTGTCTGCTACACACAAATCAACACAAATACTCACAAGCTTGTCCAGCGTTTCTGACAGCGTGCTGATGTTTGCCAGGCTGTGAGGACTTTTCCTACGAGAAAGCACACAAGCACTGACTCAGCATCATTCAGGGAACGTCGGCCAAGGAAGAACGAAGGCATCGGCCAAAACACATGCGAGGCATTACTAACACCACCATCACTTTGAAACCAAGAGGAAAAATCTGATCATAGGTCAAAGACCTCAGATGAGATCCAAAATGTTTTTATAGTTTCTGTAAACCAGGAAGGTTTAGGGTAAATATCTGATACTGTGACTATGAATGTGGAGTCTCAGGAGCGCAGCTCAGGTTCATTCAGAATGATAGATGCTTGAAGTCTCTAAAATATTTGGATTTGTGTGGTGTTCTCTCATTCTGCTAATATGAATTTGAGTCATTTTCAAGATATTTATGAAATTATCAAAATAACAACACTAGAATTATTATTATTATTATTATTAACTACTTTCAAAATTTCAATGAAGATTGAAGAAAATTTATTTAACACAGGCATGAGGTGAGTACTTTGTATCAGCAGATTTCCAAAGCCAAGGCATTCGGATCATATCTGTGCGTCGTTGTTAATTGAAGTTTCATTGCAGTTGCCCTCCTGGCCTTACAGTCAACTGAACGTTCAGAAATTCAAGGAAAGAACCGATTTCTGCCTTTAGAGCTGTGATTTTTAAGCCTTTGTGCCAAAGCAAAACAAACAGCAAACCAGAAACCTGTCGTCATATGCGCAGAATGTCATACTCTCTCATTTCAAATATCATCACTTCTTTTGATTGCAATGTTAGCTGATTTTAAGAACTACAATGAGCACCACTAAAGTATGACTTGCATCCATCCTCTTATCACACAAGAACACATACATTGTATGGTCAAAAATATGGGGACACACTCTTAGTCTTTGAATTCAGGTGTTTTTAGTTCCATAGCCACAGGTGTATAAAATCAAGCACCCAGCCATGCGGTCAGCCTTTAGAATGACTTGTGAAAGAATGGGTCGTTCTACAGAATTAACAGAAATGGAGTACTACTGAAACAGGATGCCACTGTTGCAACAGGTCAGCGGGTGAAATTTCTTCCCTTTTAGATATTCCGCAGTCAGCTGTATTATTGTAAACGTGGACGTGTTCAGGAATCAATAACTCATCCACGATCATCCAGATCAAGTAAAGTTACAGAGTGCGATCGCTGCGTGCTGAGGTGTAAAGCACATATGTTCTGCTGACTCAGTAACTGCAGACCTCAAAACCTCTGACATTAAGATCAGCATGTAAACTGTACACTGGGAGCTTCATGGCATGGGTTTCTATGGCAGAGCAGCTCCTGTGGGTGTATTATGTGGGCAGCCTAGAAATTTTGTTTATGTAGTGTAGATTCCTGCTGCCTCTGGTTCAGACGCAGCTCTCTTCTACCCTTTTAAAGCAGGTGAAGTCTCTCTATAAAAGGATGTTCAGTTTCCAAGGCCCTCTTTAGCTCACTATATCAGCATTAACAGATTAACTCAGGCTGAAGGCTGCTGACATCACAAGTCCAGCTGCTCAATTATATCTCCTCACTATCAATCAGGCCAATGAGGTCAACTGAAATGACATTTAGTACTTTTTGTGCAGTTACAATGTTTCGTTGATGCAGAAATCTCAGGGGACACCTTGACTTGCCTCAGGGCAGCACTGGGGAACCACAGCCTTTAAGTATAGGACCCATTGGAAGTTATGATCATATGTAGACATGATCCCAGACACATACACAACAATGAATTCTGTGACTTTACTCCCCATTAGGATCATTCAAGTGATTCCAGGAGATGATGTGTGGAGAGGCAGAGTGTGCCATCGCAGCAGCTGTCACAAGTACGATTCATAAATGCACAAAATTCACTTGAGTACTGTTAAAATGAATGGTGACGCCATTGTTGGAGATTGAAATGGGCCAGTTCGGAAACATTGTTTTTGTTCGGTTCGGCCTGCATAGCTGGTTAAAAGGAAGGAGCAAACAGGGACTGCCTCATCACACTAAATTTCCGTTTTCGTGTTCAGACTTGATATAAAAGCTCACTAGAAGAACGAGGACACTGCTCGGTAGAAAACAGGCGTTGTCACGTTTGCATTTCAACAAAAACCACCAAACGTAACTGTCGCGCAGCTGCAGTGTCTGCGACATTAAACGTGAACTTTTTCCAGCGTTTGAACTGTTAAAAATAAACATGGTAACGACAGCACTGCTACAGAACCAGTTTAAAAAGCTCTGTGGGAAACACACGTCACCATCCCTCCACCACACACACCTAAAGCACAAGACACAGGTACATATTGAATAAAAAGTCTGTTAAGGGTCTGGACTCTGTTAAACTTTAAACTTTGGGCTAAAATCCAAACGGCTGCGGGTCTCTGCCGTTGATGCTAACGTTAGCTAACCAGGCTAGAATGACTAATAGCAGACTTCGTGCCAGGATGTCGCATTTTGTCGCCACTTAAATGTTACAAAAACATGATTCGTATTACAAATTCCACATTTATCTCCTTCATTTTCTTCAGAGAGTCAGTCTTGACTCACAGTGAACCCCTTTTGTTCGCTAGCTAACATTAGTGGCGCACCGCGGGTTTCAGAGCTGCTCTGCTAACGTCTGCTAATGTGTCAAAACACGCGTCAAAAGTCTTTAAATCACTCGCATCATAATTAGAGGCAAATATAAGACAGATGCCTGGGGCAACACCTGGTAATTGATAGGGCACTCTTTTAAACACTTACCACTTTCAGTCACACTCAGACTACTGTCACAGTTCCACCTGCTTCTCTTATGCCGGAGTTTTGGCTGGAGCCGGCGTTTCCGCGAGAGTGGACGATACCACCGCTTTATGGGGGTGCAATACAAAATTAGCGTTTCCCTGTTCAGAGAAATGTGCGCGAACGCTCTTTTTTAAGAATGGATGTTTATAAAACACGACATTTAACCTCATTTACAAGAAGGATATATGGTCTTAGACAACAGTTATCCAAACGACAACATCTGATGGTTGTAATGTACACCCCAAAGAGCCGAATATATCGTTTTAGTTCTTAAAGAAATAGTCCCTTATTTTTGGCTCACATGCTCACATGTACTCATGTCCATGCATCCATTCGTCCCAGCTGTCATAGGGCGAGAGGCAGGGTGTAATAAAGTTTTTAACATTTAAATAAAACTGTAAAATCTCTGTCAGCTATTTTTCTAAAATAGTTCCTCTGAACTTTTTATTTAATTTTAGCTGTTCACAGTTCAAAAACTCGTCCATCACTCTGAGTTAACGACAAGCAAGGTTATCCTTAGGCTAGATGCACTGGGTGTAGATGGGTGTCAGGGGTGATGTGATTTATGACAGAAAGGTAGTGATAGCGAGAGTAAAAGAGAAGCTCTCCATAACCTGCTGTGATGTATGGTTTGGAGACAGGACGTGAGGCCAAAGACAGAGGAGTTGATGATGTTTGTTGGGAGTGAGCAGGATGGACAGGATAGAGGCAGCTGATCCACAGATAATCCTGCAGTGAGAGCTTGTCCTTTAATAACACAATTAATCTGCAAAATAACAAGTTTAAAAATAAATGTTATGGATAAAAAGTATAATCTACATGCAAAATATAGTTTAGTAGAAACATATGCATATAACAGGTGTCATTATATGACCCCCTGCTGGTCTCTGGTCTTTGTTTTTAAAGGTTTAGTAAGCAAAATACTATTTGACCTGAGACTTGTGTAGTATTTATTAACTCAGAGTTAGTGTTTATACTGAGGGTTGTTGGAACATTAATAAACCCAGTGTTCCTGTAACTGTGCGGTGTATGGAGCACATGATTGTGGCCCATACACCATCTCTTAAAATGTAAATATTCAGCAAAAATTCTCATAGATTTCTTTAAAAGAAAAACTTAAATAAAAAAATCTAGGTCATTCACAGTGACATTGCATTTGTTTATTTACCATTTTCTTAATTAAGTTAATATGAAGTAAGATTAGATTAGATGAAACTTTATTAATCCCTCAGGTGGGTTCCTCCAGGAAATTTAACTGCAGAATAAGTCTGCAAACTACATCAAGTCCTTGTAATTTATCTTCTTGATAAATAAACACCCGAGTATAACCCACTTGCGTTAAATTGAGGTCATTTGTTGTTGTTGTTTTTTGAAGCAATAAGCTCAAGTAATTTCTTTAAATGCATCCAACTTATTAAATTTTACAGCAACTGGAAGTAGGAAGAAAATATTTGTCTTTATTTTGCCAGTAAATAAATTATTCAACTTAAAAAAAAAAAAAAAAAATTTAAAACAAGCAAAAACAAAGCAGTACTCAAAAGAAGCACTCTCATCTCACTTTGATTTTTTTTCTTTTATTGCCAACACACACTTTTAAAGTCCTTCCTTGATGTCATAGCAAACATTCAGCTGGTTTTCAGGCTGTGGCTGATTGTGTTTAGTTCAAGTGTTGTCGTCACACAAGGCTACAGTAAAATCTGACTTCTGTGCAGTGCAGGCCGGGTTTTCACATGAGACAACCAAAAGAAAAAGAAAAGAATCACTCACAGCCTTTTAACTTCAGCTGTGGTTAATTCAAATGTTTCAAAAGAGAGTAAAATGCAAAAATCAGACAATATATCTTTAAAAAAGGGGAGGGGCATAAAATGAGATCACACAGGAGGTGACACCCTTGTTTTTAGTTGGAAAAAGAAATTTTACATTGAGAAAAACTCTGAAACTCTGCTCACACATCCTTTCAGTGGTGAAAGCTTCCTCATATTTACTTTTTAAACCCTCATTTTCTTTGGGAATCATGTCATTAATACATTTAACGAGCTGTGGGATGTTTCTGCAGTTGGGTTTGACTTTTGTGGAACATGTTGCTGAAATAAAATCTAAGGTTTATTAAAAAAAGATTTGATATGTTGTCTTTGTATTACTTTTGTTTAAATAAAGATACAAACCGTTGCAAATGATGGGATTCTCTTTATTTAAATTTCACATTCTGAACAGCTTTTTTTTTTGGAGAGAGTGAATTAGCTTAGGAAGTTACGGAAGTTTAAAGGCGTCCACTTATGCTTATTTCCATATTTTGATGATTGGGTTCTGATAGAGTAGCTTTGCATGACTCGAAGATCGAAATCATTCTTTTCTCTTTTTTTTTCGTTCAGTCTTTCCCTTCATACTCAAAACAATCTGCTTTCATCCAATTTTTATGACCTCAACTAAACACTTATATTTACTGCTGTTTTTTTTTTTAATCTTAAAAATGTTTCCCCAACAATTTGTCAGTTTCCTTCTTTGAAAACCTTTCATAGTTTTCTGTAATATAATTTGCCCATGTGTGTGGTAAAGATCATGGAAAGTTGTGAGGAAATATATTTATGTTTTTAGACATTACAGGTAAATTCCCATTTCTAATCCCTGTGTTGTGCTTAAAAGTGGGAATGAATCATTGTGATGTTTTGTAGTGAACCACGGCTAACACAGCTATAATGCAAAGACTTACTGCTGCAGAAGCCCTGAGACAGACATTTAATGCCCAAACTGACAGCTCAGCTGATGTAGGAATGAGTCCAGTCGACTCCTTTTTGCACAAAAATGATCGAAAACTAAAACAAATGACTACCACCTCTCACCAGAGAAGCTTCTTCAGTTCTAAGACATATCTTAGAATACGTCATAGATAGGGAAATAGTATAGGTACGATAAACACAGACAGAGCCATTTAAAACAAGTCTGTCCATTTCATGAGTTTCTATTATCTGGTACTGATGCAAAGTTTATAGTCTCCTAAAAGATCAGGAGAGTAACCTTAAATAATGGGGTCATAAATGACACTACTCTGTCATTTTAGCCAGTAAAATAGCTTCTAACAGTACATGTATATGACATACAGTGAGAGGAATAAAAGGTTCCCTTTATTGAAGACTGACAGCTTGTGAAATGATGCAGTGAAACTGAAAAACCTCTGAAGAAATTCAAAGTTTGTCAGCCTGTATAAACAATTCAAGTGAGGCTCGGGTTCAGCCCGTAGTCTGACAGGCAACAGGTATGCTTACCCTCTGAGTTCAGTCTGTTTACATGGTAATAGTTGAAAACTAGCACTTAATACAAAGCACAGCTGAAGCTGATGGAAATTCAGTTAAACTGGAGGTGTTCAGTTCTACATAACTGACATATTAAACAAAAAACATTAAAGTGATTAGAAAACGAATTCTACATTTCTCAAAGTGTGGCCACACAGGGAAGGATGCCTTAACTTTCTTTGAATTCAAACCCAAAGTTGTCAAGTAAGCAAAAAGTGAGTGAGACTGAGCTCGTCTGTTGTTGTTACTATAGCAGCAAACCTTGCAAACATTAACAAATAAAGCTGATGTCAAAAATTAACAGGACAAAAACCCACAAACACCAAAAATGATTTGTACAATTTTCTGTGAGGGGCTGAATAGAAAGGACATCAGAGTTACAGTAACCCACCCTCTGGAAGCCACAAATACATCTGACGGATTGGTTGTTGCAGATACCTCTCATTATGAGTTAAAACTTATAAACTTCAGAACAAGTGAGAAGGTTACAAACATCATCTGGATTCATGAATGCCTGAGCTAAATTTAGAAGATTTAGATTTGTATGTCAGGAAGTAGAGCAGGTCATCTTATAATTGTAAAGTTGTTGGTTCCCTGGCTGCTCCAGTCTAGACACCAAATATCCTTGGGCAGGATACCAACCCCAAGCTACTCTCCAACACATCCATGGGATGATGAATGAAAACTATGCTTAAGAAAGCACAGAATAAAAGTGCTTATATGAATGAATCAAGCTGGGGTCACAGGGTAGAGCACATAAGTGACCCTGACAAGGATAAACAGAAGAAAATGGATGGATGGTTGTTATTTCAGTCTTAAACTTTGAAGACAACCACTAGCTATGAGCTCAGCATCAGTAGGATAATTTCTATCAACAGTGAGGTGAAGTCTGAGAAAAACAAAAGAGAAAAAAAATAATTAAATGGCAGATTCAAAGCTAAAAGTTTTGTTTCAGTGCCTGAAACATTTTTGTAGGTTTGTAAGTACAAATCCAGCTTTGTACCTTGATGCCCTTCTGTAATCTCACTGGTGACATTTCCCCCCTCCAACTACAGATTAACAAACTTGAATTTCTTAGTTTTTGACAAGTTATCATTTCTGAGTACCCACCATCAAAAAAATGATTTTCAGACCAAGTTTCTGTGACTGTTGGAACTTCTTCAATCAAAACGACACAGTACACCTTGAAGCCAGAAGTTAAAACTCAACCAGAAAAAGATGCCTATCAGAAACAATAAACAAAGGAAGGACCCTCCCCAAAAATATTTAGTGTGCTGGGTCCAGTTATTGAGAAACGCCTTTCATCCAGTTAACTGTATGCGAATTTGAGGATTTATGCCTATAAATAAACCCAGCTAGTGATGTCACCTATGACTGTGGATCTGAAACTGAATAAATCTGAAACAGCAGTTTAAAAACAAAAAAACAAAAAAAAGGAGATTGAGTATTGGTGGGTTGCAAAGCAGGTTGCAGATAACCTGTAAGCAGGGTAAAGCAGCTTAACACATGCACAGTACGAGACACACAGATTAGATTCTCAGAGGTTTTAACTATCCTAAGAGACGGGGATCATGCATGCTGACCTGATAGTCGTGGAGCAATTCTTCTTTTTTAGATCAAACCAAACCTCTAAAACCACCGGAACAAGCGGAATAAGAGGTTAGATGGTGCACCATATCTGGGATTTTGTGCCAGTTCTGCTGTACATCTCTGTGCTTTGTGTGACAGATTACTGCAGGTTTAACTGTTCAACTCCTCAACTCTGACAGAAAA